AGTCACTAGTGAGCACTGTTACGATATTTTCGGGCAGAGTTTTGGAGGTTTTGTGTTTTTACACATTTGAAATCATTAATCAATCATTGTTAGACCACCATTAGAAACCTGGAAGCACTGAAAGACAGCCGTTTGGTCCTGGTATGGGACTCATCACCCTGAATTGGTAAGGGTAATTTTAGATTGGTTTTCAGGAGAACCACCCTAACTCATGTCTCATATGGTCGGAAAAATGAAAATTTCGCTATCGTGGAAAAACCACACTACCTGACGTGAGAAAAAAAGATAGAAACAGTATGTTTGAGCCCATTTGTATCAAGCTGGGCTGCATCTCTTGCTCTTCTATGCCATATGATGTGTATACCATAAGGTATATTGCAATATAGACCTGAAGGTTCTCAATGAGACTGGAGGTTCGTTATGATGTACACCATGGATGCGTTGGCATTGTTTTGGTCAGTTTAGTTTAATAGTTCATAGGCAAATTAGGTTAATTAATAGGGTAACCTATTTCATTGATACTGGTTGTAGTTGTCTGGCAACATTCTCGAGGATTATTGTCATTGCAGTGCTGTATTGCATATCACCACTGCTAATAGTAAGGAGTTTCACAGTCATGTAAGCGTGACGGGTCAAATTTTCCTGTTCTTGCGGTTCATATTGATTGACGCAATCATGGATCGGAAATAATCACTATATATGTATTAGTGTGTACAAATGGTCCACTTGGGTGTCAGGTACCTACGTGTATGGTTGCGCCACGGGATTGAGCCGAATAGTTCACGCTGAAGTGTAAACATATTGGTAGTCTCCTCGATTCTCCTAAAAACCAATGTACAACAACTCAGTGTATTGCAATAACCTAATCATTTATCTAGGTGATAGATATTTAGAAAAGTAAATATATGTATTTCTAAAGTGTTACGCCTGCATGTAAACACGTCAACTTGATATACTTGAACTATTACGAGTTTACCTAGTCGGAAAACGAGAACGAGGATCTGGTGACACGACATGCTACTCAAATCCGAATATTCCAACACCCATATTGAGTTAAAATGAGAAGACTTGATATGAAGTAGAACCTGTATTCTACAAGCATTCAGAAAGTACGAGGTTTGAGTGTAGAAGAGAATCAGGATCTCGGACTAGGGATCCGGAACTAGGTCCTGGTCCTGGTCATAAAACGTTACAGATAATGCATATTTATACAATTAGGTCGAATAGGAAACAACATTGAAGTGTGTGACATTGACCAATATGAAGCAACATTTGAAATGACATTGACAGTCCGCATGACCAATAAGAGACAACATTGAAGTATTTGACTTTGACAGTTCAAACGACCATAATTTTGACCAATAGAAATCGACCAATAGGATTTGACCGATAATTCTCTTAGGATATTGGATGAATATCCTAACAAAACGTAATGTTCTACAGAATGAAACTATTTGAAATTTGAGCTTTTGTTTAATCAAACAAAGTAAACTGTTTGTTTTACTTCAGTGATTTAGGTATAAGTAGGGAGATGAACTGGAGCGAGTGATATTGAAGACAGTTTTCAGCCAATAATAACCTTTATTTATCAAATGCTTTTAGGAAATTGATTCATGTTTACAGGTTCAATATCAATTGTTCGATCAAAATGTTACAGATTTACAGCAGCAGCTATATGACCTTAATAATCTAGGTGTAAATTTATTTGTTCAGGCTAGAAATGATTCTTCAGAATTTCTTATTGATATTAACAGTTTCAAGGGAAAGTTATCTGTATTCAATGTGTGCATTGTTTATGTTCTCACTTATCACTTACTTTGAAGATTCATGTTGCTTATCGGTATGCAAATATGTGATATCTACCTGCGTCAACCTGTGTTATGATTTACTGACAACGCTAACTAACCAAAAAGTATAACAACTTTGAGCATTGTGATGGAGTTTCGTTCTCTGAGCTGGATATTTTGGTTGTCGAGCTTTCGGAGCATACAGCACGACTACTGAAACCCTATGGAATATATGTGTAGCACACAAATCAACAGAATCGCCTTAATCAATCCTATGAAGACTGACGGATAAAATGACAAAGGAAGAAAAACCAAATATCATCTACAAAATCAGTTGCTCAGATTGTGAAAAACACTACATAAGGCAAAGTGGACATCCTCTTCAGCTTCGTCTACATGAACAGCAATTAGGAGTCGAACGTCATAACAGTCCTTCCCTTATATCGATGCATATGGACAACTATGGATTTACGTTCGATTGGGACAATTTTGAAATACTGGATAGGTGGAGCACAGAGAACACCAGGGAATTTTTCGAAGTGTGACACTCATTTCAATCAGCAATCGACAAACACATCGACTTTGAATCAATTTACCAACCAATCAGAAAAATCATGGACATACATAGGATCAAGAAAAACAGATCAAAGGAGGAGGGATCACTCAAAATAAAGGTGCAAACAACGACAAGATCAAGGTTAACAGAACAAACTACGAGTCATACGTTGAGAAACTGAAATACTTCACTTCTTCCTGAAGTTTATGCTGATGATGTTGTTCAGTAGAAGAACTATGAAATCTCCACAACCAATAAACATCCAGCTCAGAGTACGAAACTCCACCGTCTCAGCATTGAACGTGTTTTCTGAACATCATTCCAAAAGTGAAACAGCATTCATACTTTCTTGCGTACAGTAGACATCAATCGCACAGAAAAGGAGATTCACCAATTGAATAGAGTTAGTGTGGTGCTGTTTTCTTCAAAATAGGATTTTTCAAATAACACTTTCTATGTATTAGTTATTGTTACTATTGTCATTCATTATGTATTCGATTTGAATATAATTTTCTCTCACTTATATATGTAACTATTCTCTTTACATTATTGATTAATATATCTCCTCAATATAAAAACAAGTGATTGATTCAAGTGTTATGTTAAATTTATATTGATTAAAAAAAATAGATACTTGATCGATTTTAGGATAATAATATGTATTAATGTTTCTGTAAAGATATACATCCAATATCCTAAGAGAATTACTGGTCAATCCCTATTGGTTAATGCCTAATGGCCAATTTTATGGTCATCCTAGATATCAATGTCACGTACTCCAATGTTGTTTCTTATTGGTTGTCCTGACTGTCGATGTCACTAAAAATGTTGTTTCTTATTGGTCGTCTTAACTATCAATGTCACAGACTTCGATGCTGTTTCCTATTCGACCAAAATGTATAAATACGCATTATCTGTAACGTTTTATGACCCGGACCCAGATCCCTAGTCCAGGATCCTGATTCTGTTCTGGATGTTTGTAGAATACAGGTTCTACTTCATGTCAAGTCTTCTTATTTTTACTCAATATGGGGGTTGGGAAACTCGGATTAGAGTAGCTAGTCGTGTCTCGGGATCCTCGATCCTCACTCTCGTTTCCCGACTAAGGTAAACTCGTAATAGTTCAAGCATATCAAAATGACATGTTTACGTGCATGCGTAACAGTTTCTTAACAGTTTTGCTTATGGTGAGTTCAATAAGAAAACTTACTTTCTGTCATTCATTTTGGAGAGACTTTTGCCAAAAAAAAATCAGTTCATGATGAAAACTTGAACCCGCATTCCCAATTGCACTAATTTTGTTCTCTATTTTGATCATAGTAAGTTGTCGGAGTTTCCTAAGGACATTTGAGTATGTAAACAAATACTTACTCGTCAAAATCACAGCCCCACTTAACCGAAACATGGAACAAATCCATGAAGTCACCAAGAACTCAAATGAACCTTATTTGTAGGTGCGTGTAAATTTATTTCGACAGTGGCTGTCTCAATTGTTTCCAATAGAAACACTCCTGTACGTTTTTCCTAGTTCCGGGTCCCAACCAAATCAAAAAGGGCAAAATTCTAGGAGGAAACGTCTCTTTATTATTAGAAAATGGAAATACAAAGCCTTACGGAATTTGTGTTTCTTCCAGGGTTAAATTACTCCGCAGAGTATCCAACACAATAGCCGATAAGTGAAGCTAAGTCCAGCAACCACTGCGTCCGTCCGAAAGTGTGGCGGTAGCCATATTATATCAAATTTAAACAATATGTGTACAGTTCAGAAGCAAACCCAAAAACTTCAATATAAGTACAAATATAGAAAGAATAACAATATACAATGATAAAATCTCAAATTGGAATCAAATAAAATACCAAAAATGTCAAGAGAAAAAGTCCATCATGTCATAGCAAAAATATGTAAACATGGAGGGATTTTCCAAAAAACAAAACATTCAAAAAGAATTCTACACCGGCCCGCAAAATTCCTCCATGCAAAAAGGCAAGCGTTAATGACACTTCTATTTAGGGTTCCCACTCATCCCTTAATCCACACCGGAAGAACAAGTAGGACTTACAGCAGTACGCCTACCCGCCATCCAACATGGATATGACCTATCGTGTTAACTAGGTACCTATACTTTCCCATCAGGCCCTTGATTCCCCTATCTATCGTGGAATGACCTAACGGTAGTATAAACCTTACCCAATTAACCCATACGAACATGAACAACACATCGTAAAACTGGTCATATCCTATTCGAAGACTACATTCTCTATCATGGGGACGAGTCGCCAATCCACCACCACTTGCTCCGATCAGCAGATACCATGAAGTCCGTGATGCCAACTTATCAACAGAAGTTTTTGACCCATAAATAATATTCAAGGGTGGGATCTCCAATTTTGACATTTCATCGTCTCCAGAAGACTTTAAGTAGCATGACGTAGGATCAATATTTATCCTTCCATCTCCTGATGCAGAGGAGGTTTGAACAGTATTCATCATCGTCGGTAAATCATTTGTCACATCAATGACATCCAGTTTATTATCAACGTCTAATTGATTCCGTTCTGCATTAGCATCCGTTTCAGCGGCACAAGACATATGCTCAACAACAGCATCATCATCACACCGCACTTTAGACTGGCTGTTACCATCAAACACTTTCTTCTCACCATCACTCGACTGACAGTCAACCGTAATAGGAACAGTTACAGTTGCACAACCTTGTGCATCTTCAATCAACTTAACCTTCGTGACGAGGTCCGATGGCGTCGAAACACTAGGAGGCTCATTCGATGAAGTTGATAAACTAGTCCCTATAAGTGGACTGCTGACACTTTCTATCTCCTTATTATCACTGTCACTACTAAAGTTCTGATGGCTACTATTTCCATGGCTAGTCGTAGCATCCGAAAGAGCATGAGGTTCAGGCTTCTTAGTAATAGTAGCATCATGTCTCCTAGGCTTCTTAGCCGTTACTGTACCACCATCACTTATCCTAGAATCTCCTCTAGGTCCAGTTATATAATTTACCCTAACTGAAGGGTTCCGAAAATAAGCTTTATTCCGTTCAGACAATCCTGCCTGGGTCTTATTCATATTTGCTGAACTCATTAACCTCTGATTACTCGAATCCAAATTACCGTTCCAGGCTTTTCGAGCAGCTAAGAGGCTTTTATCATCACACACTTCGGATCCATTTTGATGCCTACACTTTTCACCTTTTTCTTTCTTTTCTATACTTAGAAAAGCCATCTTATCTGTTACACCAACCGGCTTCTTGCTAGGACACGCATCAAGAGGCTTTACATCGTTACGGTCACATACTCGTCCTTCATCAGCGTATGCTTTCGTGATATAATTGACAAATCTCTTATCTTCCGAGCGTGCTTTAGGTAGAAACGAAAAATCCGAATGTCTCGCACGCAGACCACTAGTAGCTTCCGTATTATTTCCTGTTTTAGCCTGATAAGCTAATCTTCCAAACCTACTACTAGCTATCTTAGCACGAGACATAATAAATTCCGTCAATTCATTGAAACTAGGCTCTCTCTCCTCTTCGTCCCACTTGATTACTAGCTCTGCCCACTGGGCTTGCATTCGACGAGGTAGGAGCCTTACTATTCGTTCTAAAGTAGCCATAGAGTTAAGTTCAGCTGTACAATTTAACTGTTCTAAAGTTAAAGCAGCGTTCTGCATTTTAATAGCCAAGTTCGTCAATGATTCAGGATCATTAAATTCTACATTCCCAGTTCTAAATAAGTCCTCTAAGGTTTCTCGCGCTATTACATGCGACTGTCCAAAGAGCTATTTTAGAATGGCCTTAGCTCTCTTATATCCTGATTGTGGATCCATAATAATACAGTCTTCAGTCGCATTTTTTGCTTTTCCCTTACAATAATGAATTAAATACAATAAACGAACTTGATCGTCCTTTATTCGGGTTTCTATAAACGTCTCTATTTGTCGTATGAACCTAAAATAGTCGCGAGACCTTCCATCAAAAAATGAGAGTTCAACCTTAGGTAGTTCTAAACCCTCTATCGATGACTTACAATAATAAATATCAGACATAACATGTGGGTTACCCATAAAAAAGTTATCATTAACGACTTGCCTAGAGCCCTGTGATCCGTCGAGCTCTTCCAGCGTCCTCATGTGTGATTTTTTTCTGTTTGACATCATAAATGAAGTTCAACAAAAAAGGTAACAAATACAAAATAGAGTAATTCCACAGTTCAGTTCAAAAATACGGTAAAAATCCAACTTCTTCCTCCAAGGAAGTCTAGTGTGATAAACGATTAAAATTCCAAATGTTTCTTTATAATTCTTAATAATCCGAATAGTTCCAAAATATATACGTGCAGATGAATATTTCCAAAGTATAATCCACGAAAGAAGAAATTCCAGACTGTAGCTTTTATTTCGACAGTGGCTGTCCCAATTGTTTCCAATAGAAACACTCCTGTACGTTTTTCCTAGTTCCGGGTCCCAACCAAATCAAAAAGGGCAAAATTCTAGGAGGAAACGTCTCTTTATTATTAGAAAATGGAAATACAAAGCCTTACGGAATTTGTGTTTCTTCCAGGGTTAAATTACTCCGCAGAGTATCCAACACAATAGCCGATAAGTGAAGCTAAGTCCAGCAACCACTGCGTCCGTCCGAAAGTGTGGCGGTAGCCATATTATATCAAATTTAAACAATATGTGTACAGTTCAGAAGCAAACCCAAAAACTTCAATATAAGTACAAATATAGAAAGAATAACAATATACAATGATAAAATCTCAAATTGGAATCAAATAAAATACCAAAAATGTCAAGAGAAAAAGTCCATCATGTCATAGCAAAAATATGTAAACATGGAGGGATTTTCCAGAAAACAAAACATTCAAAAAGAATTCTACAGTGCGGACTACCTGGTTGAAGTCTGTAAGACTATCGTAACCAATGATGAGAGACCTTGGATGTCTTGACTTAAAATTGTTTGCGATGGCCTAGAAGTATCCATTATTTGTCTTCTCTCGAATCCTAATCTTCTGAATTACTCATCACTTTTATCTTTTATTTCTAAGTTTATTTCATTTGATTCTACTTCTCGAATCATATCTTCGAACCCTAATCTCTCCGACTACTGCTAATACTTCCACTACATTAACCACTACGATATTTAAATTGACAGTTGCATCTCTGTGCTAATGCGGTATGGCGACTTGGATTGATTAACGTACACATAAAGTTCTACATTGTAGCTGGCTGACTGAATGACAGTTTTGCTACATACATAGTTAGTGACTTCATGGATTTCTGCCATGTTTTGATCTAGCCGCCCCTAGCTTTCTTCCAACATACTCCTACACCACAAAATATCGTTCGTCGAGGCAGTCGGTGGTTAGGCATACGCAACACATGTCCCAACCACCTCAACTGATGAAGTTTCACTACTTCATCTATTGATCTGCCATCCTTACCTTGAAATCGTTTCCTAACGACAGCATTGCTTACTCGGTTGTCCCACGATATACGAGCAATGCTTCTAAGACATCTATGATCGAATACTAATAATAATAATAATAATAATAATAATAATAATAATAATAATAGAAATAATAATACTAGTAATTTAATCTCGATTCATTCACGCA